GAGGGGTGTGTGCTCCTGGTGCCCATGCTGCTCACCTCCTCAGCATTGGGGGCAGTGGTATGGTGGTCTGGAAGCCTCCTCCTTGGTGCTGGGGGTGGCTCTTTTTTTTCCTTTTTTTTTTTTGGTACCGGGGATTGAACTAGGGACCGTGCACTTGTGAGGCAGGTGATGGATCCACTGAGCTAAATCCCTAGCCAAATGTTTCATTTTCTATTCAAGAGAGACTTGGAGAGTATGGCAAATTGAGACCAGGACCTTGACTTCAAGTGATTTAATTCTAACACTCTTGACAATGTCTGAGAGGAAATTACATATATGCTATTTACTTGCAAATTTAAAAATATTATAATAAAATAGTTTTCTAAATATTCATTTAGTGTTATTAGCCTCATATAATCCATATTTCTCTGGTCCTTACTCTTAGCTGAAAAGTAGAATCTTTCTTTCCCTCAAGGTCATACTCATATTTCTGGGAGACCCTACTTGGGGCTGGAGGGTGGCTGTCCTGTACTGATGATGTATTCTATGGGTCAGAAGTCCCTTTTATGACTTAAGCATTGAGGCAGATCATCTACTTAGATGTCCTGCTTGGGGTTGGGGGAGTATACATCTTGAATAAATCAGTGTTTATCTTCTGGTTTTTTTTTACACTTAAAATGGCTAAAAGTACTGTTATAAACTGCACTGAGTCATGCAGGCTTAAGGTATCTATAACTGAGCTGTACTATAGTACTGTCTGAAGATCTTCCTGTATGAGAGCTACATTGTATTCACACAAAGTAGATGTCATAGCAGGAATATTTTTTGCCCTAATGTCTTATAGAGGTTTTTAGCAAAAAGGACCTCTTTCATTTCTTTTGGAATACTGCTATTTCCTTGTGACTCAAGAATCCAAGGGTTGCTGGTGGTTGTGGTAGTGAGGAACAACAAATCTTAGTGATTGCTTCCACACAGAGAGCAGAGTCACTGGAGCAATCTTGTTTGCCTTTCACTGTTTTCCATTATGGAAGTACTTTTCCTGAAGATACCTGAGTTCCTCCATTAGTGTCCAGGTGACCTCTACCCACTGGTATGAGTTACTGGGCTTCCTCAAAGTATCTAATTCCCAGAGGGAGACCCCTTTACACTCAAGCTGGTACTCCAGCTATCAAGTGACCTCCTTTTTGTCCTCAGTAACTTTTGTAAATCCAAAATATTGTAATAAGAAAATGGATCTTTCGTGAAAGGAGGTATAGATAGATACAAGTGAATTATCTACAGTAGGATACAAGATAGTGATGGACAGTGAAAAGAAGGCCAAAGATTCATTTGCCTTACTCTTATTACAACTTTTGGAGGTGTCATACTACTGAAGTAAACCTTATAATTGAGGAAGATGAAGGATGAGAATAAAAGGAGATAGGATGGAACATTACCTAAGAGTTAATCAAAATTTTCTGATTTTTTCACTTTCAGACTCTTGGCACATGGTAATTTTCAAAGGATAGGGCAAGATGATACCCCACAAAGAGAGAAGTATAAAAATATTCAATATTTAATATTTTGAAAAATTGCTCCTTATCCAGTTTCTCAGTGTTTTCTTGACCTTTATATCTCCTTTCCTTATGTTCTGTACCCTGAGAACCATTGAGTTAGAGTAGGAGGTGTTAAAAGATAATGTTCATGTAGCAAGTTTTAAAGGTGTCTGAGCTATGACTTGCAAATGAGCACGCAGAATTCTTGCAGAGAAGAAACCTTGGGTTTGACAATTTAACATAGTCACCATGAGGGGACACTGTTGGCTCGGCACAGCTTAGCTGCTCTTCAAAAGCTTCCAGGAGATATGGAGTAAGCAATGAGAGAAAAAAGCAGCAAGCAGTGATATTAGGGAAACCTGATGATAATCAGGAAATAGTAGTTTTAAATGTTTATAATTTGGAAGATAACTATCTCTTAGAAAAGAGATATTGCATCTGTTTTTTTCCTCCTCTAAGTAATGACTGCGGTTCTCAGTTTTAAATCTCTGGAGAATAAAAGTAAATGCTTGCCACTTGTTGACCAGCTGTTGGCCTAGACCCAAAAGATGCCTATATGCTTAAAAGTTAATTGTTCATTTCTGAGTAATGTCCTTCCATAACTCTAGAAATATGGACTGAGAACAAAAAGCAGCTTTATTGGTCATATTCAATGAAAGCTTTGTTTGTAACAAGTCACTGAGCTGTGATTAATCTTGGCTTGCTAAGATTTTATCATTTAAATAATTATATGTGAATTCTCTTTTGTAATAATTTATGAAAATGAAAAGGTTAGTTAGCTCACTGAACAGCAAAACATACAGGAAAAGAGGTGGATTTTTGGGGGGAAGGGGATGGAGAATGACATGGAGGAGTAGAGTTTCAACTGGGTTAAGAAAAAATTTTGATGCCTAGGAACCTTCTCTATGGATGCTCCAGAGCAATGGTCCAACTCTGATTTGCAGTCATCACCTCTGGGGAGTGTATTTAGAATACTGATGGATTCAGATTGGTGAATATATGCTTCTTTTACTTTCTTGTTACAGTGTTGTAGTAGGGACTGGAAATGAGCTCACTTTTTCACTTATTTGTATGTTATTTATACTTTACCTACTCTCACAAAAGACGTGAAGTCATCAGTCAGAAAATATGATCATAGCAACAAACTTTTCTGCTTCCAAAATGACCATTTCCATCTGTTTAGTGTAAAATTCTAGGAAGTTTGACCATTTCCTGGGGGTTCAGGTTGAAGATTGAGGTTAGGGGA